TGAAATGCCGACATGTCCCATCGTCAAAGATTGTTGGCTTATTTGTTTCTCTGTGACTTGTAATTGCAAGAAGTTGTGTATTTATACTCCTGTCACTAAATCTCTTGTGGTAGTAACAGATTTTGACTTGGTCTCATATCATTGTCAGCTTCTCAACAAACTGTGATGCTGGTGTCTTTGCAATTGTTGAATTTTTTTAGCTAAATCAACTATTTGCCTCTTCAACAATTTATTTTCTTCTGTATTTGACAATATTTCTCATTGTATGGCAGCTTTCCTATAAATGTGTTGTAAAACACTATCATCCAACATATTGCCAGATTGAGTCTGTAAATGATGCAGAAGTTGAGATGGTGTTCTATATAGCAATGTTTTGTTTCCAATAATTGTTATAGCCTCCTCTGTTTCAGATAATGACGTTTGGAATATTAACTCTTCTTTTAATTTGCCATATGGGCTGGTTTGTGATGGGTTTAAGAGGAGATACTGTAGATGTGGCAGTTTTTTTAGGTAATGCAGAAACTACATACACAAATTTTTGTTTTCCTGATGAAATATTTTTCATCAGAAAAATAGCTTCCATGCAGATAAAAAAGCAGTTCAGGGTTAGACATGTTCTCAATGGCAGAGGCTAATTTGGGTTCCTCCATTTTTATTGTAAGTTTTTTTATAGCAATTTAACAAGTCTGTTTTGTAAAAATAAATGCTTACGCAGTATCAAAAGGTTGTAGCACATAAAAATATTTTTAATTAACCACATGATATAGAATATTATTTCAGAAAAAATACTGAGAAAAATTCTCAATGGAAAACAATATATAATAGAGTTAAGGAGATTTAGAATATAGCAGAGACATTTGTTCATTTTGTAAAAATAAATTTTCTTTCCTTATTATTTATTTATTAACTTGAGATAAGTTGCTATTTACTTTAAACACTGCCTTAAAAATTAACTAATTTAGGAGGCTTGCTATGTGTTTGAATAGTAGTAATTAGGTCAATAGGGGTGGTGAGAAGAAAAAATGGCAAAAATGAAATGGTGTCACTTGGTCAGTCAGTGACAGTGTTATTCCTGTTATTTCATGACTTACTAAGAAGCTTTGTGATAAAAATATATATTTATATTAATTGTTATTATGGGCCACTGTTAGAGTTGATAAAATATTTTATCATAAAATAATGCTAATTCAAAGTCAAGTCAAGTGAAAGATGTTTTTTTTTGTTTTTCTCAGAAATTTACTAAGTGAAAATCCTGTATGAAAAGATTTAGAAAATGAAATACAAAAAGCAAAATATCTGTAGTTACTGTAAGTTATACTTACAGAATGTAGCACAATTTTATTTTAAAGAAAAATCGGTTTAAATTAAAACTTGCTTGTGAAACGTTACTAGTGTGAAGTTTTAATACACTTTTTTTCTTTAAAAAATTAAAGAAAAAATTTTTAGCATAAAAGCTTTTTTGTCATGGTCACCAGTTTAGTGATTGGCTATTTCAGTAATTAAATGTGTAAGATTTCTTTATGAAAACATTTTATAGTACATGAAATAATGGTGGTGAAAAAGAGTACATGCACAAAATAACTGACCAATTGATTTGCAATGCAAGATAACATTTATTAAAACAAAATTAACAAAAGGAATGTTAAAAACAATAGTTTAATTTGTTAGTAATTGCATACACAATAAAATGTTAATGAATATATTCAAGTGGGACTTACTGTGTTGGTATGTTTTAATGTGAAGTGTTCACAGCCCTCTTAGCTTCAGCATGGAAAGTTCATGTCACCAATTTAAAAGAAAAACCCACAAGAGAGAGTTACTTTAATGTTCACATGTTTTTTTCATATTTGAGCTGCTGCTACAAGATTTATTTAGTCCTGCTACTGATATTAAAGGCACTACATTTGTTTTAAGTTTGGGGCATTTTTTCATCATGGTCTTCACATATTTTAGTGAATCTATGAAAGTACCTATTTTTAAATAAATATTAATAAATAGATTTAAAAATACAAGAAATCCTTTTAATCCTAAAATTCATTAAATAAAATTAAACACTCCTCTACACAAAGCATTTTTAAAATATAGAAAAAAATTCTAAACAAAACAACCATGATAATTTTGTGGCCAATTATAAAGTCACTGGAAAATGTTACAGAAAATTTATTTAATTACCATAAACAATTAAAGTAATAAAACAAAATATTTTAAATCAGTTAAAATTGACTGTTTATTTTTTTATTTTTTATTTTTTGTATCAAGTCTGACCTTAAAAGATACCCAAGAATCCTTGCTGTGCAATATATCAAATAGATAACCATATATATAAATCTAGGTTTGAATTACAGTTTAATTAAAACTTATCAATTCCAATTCTGATGAAAAACGAAATTGACATTAACCTTCTGGCAAACTTTAATCATCAGTCCTGCAAAAAAATTGTGTGTTAAAAGGATGATTTTTCCCTTGACACTGCTATTATTATATGAAAGTGAATTTATACATTTTTTTTTTGTTCTTGAGAATTGACAACAAAATTAATAAATACTATTTGACTATTTATTTTATTGTTTATTGGAATGGTTGGAAAAACATTGGCTAATTGTGAATCAATCTGAACATTTTTAAATGGCAAATAAGGAATTCCTTATAGTTGATACACATATTTTTAAAAAAATTACTAAATGTATATAAATAAAAAATTGTTTTTGCATTTATTTCTTTATTAATTGGTAAATGATAGATATTGTATTACATTAGTTTTAATACAATTCTATTAGTTTTTAGAATGTTGTAAATATAAAATGATTCTTGTAAATAAATAATCTAATAAATATGTAGGGTTTAATATTTTTGTTGTAAATTGTCGAGAACAAAACAATGTAGAAATTCACTTTCATCAGTTTAGGTTTTATTACAATTCTAATAGCTGCTTTTTAAACAATAAACACTACCAAGGAGAGAAGGTAGTTACAATAATAGCAGTGTCAAAAGAAAAACCATTTTAACACACCACTTTTTTTTGGTGGCATGAAGGTTAAAGATTGACAAACTTTTTATAAAAAATTGTTTTTTGATTTAATATTTAAATTTAACTGACTTTTATTTTTTAAAACTGTGTTTACTTATTAGAATTTATCTATTATTTAATTTAATATATAATCGATTCATTTTGTCCTTGGGTGGTCACATGAGTGCCCATCATTTGTTACAATGAATTATTGAAAACCAAATTAAACCCTATAAATCCTAATATACTCAACTGAATTTGAACTTTCTTCAATTATAGGTCAAGTCAGTATATGAACAAACCCAATTTGGGGTTATTTTGCAAATAAAAAAATTATTTAAGCCCTTAAATTGGCATAAACTATCTTTGTATAGAGTGTACATTATTTGTGTACATGTCTTTTATTTAATTAAAAAAAAATCATTATGAACAGCAACAGGATCAATTTAAAAATTTCACTGAAACTTGAAAGTAATTTAAAAAAAATATTAAGTATAAATGTGTTTTTTTCTGTCCTGTTGGTTACAATCTGGGAATGACTGCTAAAACTGTCCCCTTCTCAAATTTATAGACAAATCCTACAGATGCATGCTGAGATTTCTTTGTAAGCAATAAAAAATGTTCATGTTTTTATCTTATACATACATTTTTGTTCTTTCTTGTTTTGAAGTCAGACCGCTATAACCACTTGACTGTATCCCTTTTGCATGTGAATAGCATTCCTACTTTATGAACTTTTTGCTTTTGACTTGCATTTTATATATATATATATATATATATATATATATATATATATATATATATATATATATATTGTCTTCTATTATTTTTCCCTGTTCTTTTCTTCTTCCTACTTTTATTGTTTACTGAGAATTTTGTCAATTATGCTTAACCATGGCCAATTATTGTACATATTCAGTCGGAAAGAAAATGTGTCTTAATAAACAACTCTACTCTCAAAGCAAATTATTTTTTGAGTTTCTTGAATTATTTTGGAAAGGATGAACCGTATCAAAATAATTCAAATTTTCAGTATGTTCACACTTGATATTGTGTAAATTTCTACTGAAATAACAATTTCAGGGATTTTGCAGTTATATAAACTGTAAAACGTTTTCATGATTCCACTCATGATTCCAAAAAAATTAATAGTATGCATAAGATATTGAAAAGTGAAGTTTGAAACAGTGTTTTCTAATAACCTATTCAGTATACAATTCATTCATTACTGAATATGTACTGAAAATTACATTTGAATTGGATAATTACCTGAGTTTTGGCAAATTTTTAAAGATAGTGGGTAGCAATTTTTACTTTCATTTTGGAAAAAAATGCATATATTTTGGTGGTACCTAATATGAGAAATAAATTATTTAAGTAACCGCTGTTGAAAAATAGATTTTGTTTTGTTTTTCTTACCTATCTAGGGTAGTCTAATTTTACATTGCATAAACAACAAAAAGAATCAAATTTTACATGGTTAATGTATTGCTTTCCTGAAACCACTACTAGGGGATGCTCTCTGGTACTATAAATACTCTGCGATAATTTTTTGTAGCCGTTACTTTTTCTGCTTGCAAGTCTCTCATGGAAAAACGTATTTCCCATTGGGAAATTATAGTGAAGAAGACAGCAACTTACCTCGTCTTTGTCACTTGTATATTTTTCTTGTTAATACATTATCATTTGTTTGTACATATATTGTTTGTTATTTGTTCTCATTGTTTCTCTCCATTTATTCACCTAGACTCACATACCAAGTCCACCATTTTTGTTGTGGGTATTCCAGGAGACACATGTTTTTCTCAACAGAAACACATTACATACTGCCCAGAATAGTATAACAATTACAACTTGTACTTACTTTCTCTGCTTGCTTATAAATTTGTGCTCATCAAATCAAACAGAAAAGAATTTTGTACATTGTTGGTTTATTTGGTTGAACATATAAATTAAATAATGAGGTTTTTGTTGTCATTTTTTTTCATCTTAGGTAAACTCAATAAGGGAAATTTTGAAAATTAAATTTAATATGACAATTAAAGAAGTGGAGGATTCTGAAGCAATAATTGATGGAGGTGATGTTCTATTTACAGGTAAGTTTGCAATTTTCTGTTCTATTTTTCTGCTCCAAAACATTCGTCAAGGGTCTATAGAAAATGTTTTCATTTTCTTCTCATATGAAATGTACATTTTAAAAAAAAAACCTCCATTCAATTGAAGAGACAGTGATGTTTAAAAATCTTTTTTAATGCATTGAAACCTTTAAAAAATTAAAACAATATAAGTAGATTATCCGAAAAATTTATAAATAAAGAAAATAAAGAAGTCTGCAAACCAACAAATAAACTTGGAGAAGATAGGATTTGTCAAAATTGAACTTAACACTGTTGAATCATTTTGGTAAAGGTAAGTTGAATTGTATTAGTAATATTGTGATGAAGAAAATATTTATGTTCATTATCTATTTATGTACATAATTTGTACATGTTGCATGAGGAGGAACATAGAATTTACTGATGGTTGTGTAGTTCATCTTAAATTTGAAGACCAAAAATAAAAAAAAAAGTTAATATAGACTTATTTGAGGTTTCATTACATAATCATATTTTGGTTTGTAGAAAGACCAAAATTTCAAAATTAAGAATTATGAAAAACATTTGGAATATTTTATAAGCATATCATCCAAACATGCATGACCAAATAGACATTCTTTCTGACTAGTTTCTTTGATTTCTTCAAATTTCAACCACTGTAACTTTGAGATTTCTTTGACATTTGCATTTGAAAATAATGCTAGAGGGTGTCTTTTATTCCTTTACATATTACATTATTAAGTCTTGGAAATTTCAAAATTTTGTAATTGTCAATTCTTTGTTGTGATGCTTAACTACCACTCTACTAAGCCACTGTATATTTCAGCACTATCTTGACTTTCAGAGGAGCCTTACCAGTAATTTGATCCTCTTGGCTATGTACTGTAGAATATTCACATAAATTGTTTTTTTGAAGTCTAATGTCAGTTCTTTCCTAATTAGTGGCTGCTCATATTTATGCTTAGCCTAGTGATTGGATGATCTGAACATTGCAAAATCCTATGAAACAAAGTTGAAATAATAGGTTTAAATGAATTTTGCTGTATAAAAATTGAAGGAGTTGGTGCATATGCTACACCTGTATGATAGTGTCAGTATATATAGATATAAAAAGACATTGAGACTTCAAATCCACTACCTGGTTATCTGGTTCTTTAAAAGTCACATGTTCAATCTTCAAGAATTATATGCTAACACAGTGGAGAGACATTGGAATTACAAGGAAAAGTTCAAGTTAACCAAAAATTCTGAAATTCCTGAGGAAGGATGAGACAACAATAGAAATAAGGACAATGAAGCCTTTTTTGGTCAAATGGTTTTGTTCAACATTGCCAGGTTACCAATTGTGACTGACAGAGAAAGATTAGAGAATATAACAGCTGAAAGAAGTAAAATAAGAACAATTTAAATAAATATTAATTAAAGATTAGAATGAAAAACAAAAAATCATTTAAAATTAACTATTAACATAAAAATAATTAAGAAAAAATTGATAAGAGACAGCAAATTATAAAAAAGCAGTTAACTATTAAAATCATGATTTAAGGAAACTATGAGTATTAGAAATATAAAGAACAAAGACCATAAAAAACCTGCAAAAAAATTTTAAAACCCATAAAAAATAACATTAAAAAATAATAGAAATAAAATATAAAAAATATATAAGAATCTAAATATCTTAATAAAATTTTAAAAAATTGCTATTTCTACAATTACAGGGTGGGGATCCATACAATGTTTCTTGTTAACACCATTGAATTTGTTTTAAATATACTTATTGTGGAAGTCAATTATTTTAAACATGTTTTTTGTACATGAATAACTTATTTTGATAGTTTTTCTATTAAAAAATTTACTTAAAGGGTTGTTGTTTTAGAAATGTTTATTTATAAGCTTCAAGAAAACTTGTCTGATATTAACTCTGGATAACTTACAGAAGAGGGGGTTGAACCATATTATATTACTACACTGTATGTATTGATTTCTTGAAAAAATTTTTTAGTAAATATATATATATATATATATATATATATATACACACACTTGTAGTTTAATAATAATATTTTTTTGTTTTACATATTTATATATTTTTAAAATTTTCTTATATATTTAGTTTAGATTCTCATATTTTTTATATTTTATTGTAACACTGTATCCTCACCCCACTGGACCCATGCACTACCCCAGACTGGCCGTTGGTCTGGTATGGTCCACTATTACAGGTTAGACACAAGTCTCCTGTTCCCAGTATCAATTTGAAGCCACCAGATTGTAGAAATCCAGAAGCCTTTATTGGTCCACCTGCAAGTTTGTCAGGTGAGAATCGGGTTAACAGAAAAATAATTAACCGATTAGTCGATTCAATTTTGAAAGGACAAAATTTTTGTTTTTTATATATAAAAGCAAACACAAAAAAAATAATTCTTGTTGCACAAGGATGAATGTTTCTTGTATGTGAACAATAACCAAACAAACGCAATACTTTGAATAATTTCGGTAAGGAGAGATGTGGCCTTTGTTTTAACCCTTTTTGGTCTGTTCTTAGCACAACTACTACAACCTTTGATGTTCTCGTACTCAGTAGATGTAATATTAGTGGTAGTATTCACAGTAGCAGGAGTAGCGGTACCTAGATGTTAGCGGCAGTAATTCACTCTTCACCTCCTGTTCAGCAGCACACAACAGACACTTTCTTTACAATCTCTGACATCATTTCGCCCAGTTCGACTGCACTTAAAGACAGACGAACCCGAAACTCCTTTTTCAGTCTGCAATATCTCTCCACTCAACTTGACTGCACTTGAAGACAGATGAGCCAAAACTCTCCTTTCTTTTGGTTTGCTTGCCTCTTTATATAGAGAACCGATGACATATCTGTTTTTCTAGTGCAAGCATACTGACATACTTCCAAAGTATAATTTCACTCCTCCAAGTAAACACTTTACTTTTTTGTTAATTGGCTTCCAAGGTCCACAACAAGACTATTGTTATCACCTCGCTAGCAATCACTCTGCCACTCTTTGTAAACTACAAAGAGTCTGGTTTCAAAAATAAATTGTAAATCAAAGCATCCTTTATTTTAAATTGATTCTTAAAGTGTCAAAATTCATTTCTTTTTCTTAAAGTTCCAATTATCATTGTCCTAGTAATTTTCTATTAGTAATCTGATATCCTTTGTATACTTACAAAAAAATTGTATTTTGTGTTCTAAATCAACTTTCCGTAACATTTATATTTCAAAGTCTCTACAGCATTTTTAAAATCTTGGTTCTTTTGAAAATGCTTTTTTCTGTTTGACAGCATAATCTCCTTTATTATCATTATTATTATTTTGGGGGTGATATTGCCCCCGCCACATTATCTCTATTATTTTTATTTAAATTTTTTATTTTGTTATTTTTTTTTTTACAGGTTTTTAAGTTTTTTTATGAGTTTTATTCTTTATATTTCTATTTCTAATACTCATAGTTTCCTTAAATCATGATTTTAATAGTTAACTGTTTTTTTATAAGTTGCTGTCTCTTATCAATTTTTTTCTTAATTATTTTTATGTCAATAGTTAACTTTAAATGATAATTTTAAATGATTTTTTTCTTTTTCATCTTAATGTTTAATTAATATCTATTTAAATTGTTCCTATTTTATTTATGTTTGAATTTCTTTGTTTATTCTTATTAGGATATAAATTTTCCTGATAAATATTTCCAATTAATTATACCTATTAATTTATTTTTCATATTTTGACATGAAATATTTCTTTTCATATTTATTAGACACTTGTCCTTATATTTCTGCAAAAATATTTTTAATTATCTTATTTTTTTAAACTACCGTTTGAATTTTCCTATGTAATTTTTCCTTATTGAAACAAGATATTTGTTAAATAAAGGTCAAGGTTATTTTAATTGGTGTCAGATTTCCAATGTGCTGATGTTGTCTTTCTCTATTTTATTTTTATTTTTTCTCCCCCTTGTTCTCTTTCCTTTTGTTTTTTCTCTTTCTCTTTTTCTCTCCCCCCTTTTACCTTTTTCTTTCTTTCTTTCTTTTTTCTCTTTCCTCCTTTAATTGTTTTCTATTATTTTCTCTCTTACTATTTTTTTTCTCTTAACTTTTTATCTATTGTAGATTTAATAACTTTAAAGAAGCAGGAAAAAGTTTTTGTTTTCCTGCTTCTTAAAAGTTATTAAATCTACAAGCTTCCTTTTGATTTGATTTTATCTTAAAAACTTTTTTGTGTTTGAAAAGCCTTGATAAGGAATTTTTTTCCTTGGGTGAAATGGCCATTCATATGGGGTATTGAGTTTCATTGTAAATTATTAGGCACCTTCATGAAATTGCTAAAAAAAAAAAGCATAGCATGATGAAAAAGATGCCAAACTTGACAAAAACAAAATTTTATCGTCTAAATGACTTTATATTATTATTAAGAGGAAAGATCAAAGTATTTTGGAGTATTTTTTTTACATTTTTTTAATCATTCCTAGCACGTCCGAAATTTTCATTAAGAATCTTGTTTTTTTTTTTTTTTTTTTAGTCAGCAAAATTGACAGATAATCAATCATGTCAACCATTTTTTCTATTTTATAAAAAATGAAAATTTCAGTTTCAAATTCTTTTAAAAATCAATTATAATTTTTTCATAACTAATTTTAAGAAAATTAGAAATTACAATGTTTATTTAAAATATTTTGAAACAAGCATTACTTAGTTTTTGCACCAAAAAGAAGTAGTTTAAAAATAGGTACATCCATGAGAACTAGTAAAATAACACAAATTTTCAGCACTTTTTTTTTTGTATGACAGACAATAGTTTGGAAAATTTTGCAAAAATAAAAATAATTGTTGGTTGTTAATGAAACTTTCAGAAACTATTCACAAATGATTGAAATTATTATAAATATGTTTTCTTTTTTTAAAATCATGGAAAAAATATTTTTTTTTATATTTATTACCCTCCCATAACTAATTTTATGAAAACTCTAGAAATTCAGTCGCATTCAGTTTAGTGATTAAAATAGTTAAAAGCACAAGGCTTTGAGGAAAGCAAATCATTATTTTTTTTTAATTGGAACCCCCTCCACACCTGAAAATCAACTGTGAATTGTAACATACAAAACTCAATAAAACAAAGATATTATTTAATTTCAAATGCCTTTATTTGCTTTTAGTTGTTTTTATGAATATAGACAATATTTTCTGAAAGCAAAATTTTTTTGATGAAAAATGAATTTTTAATACAATTATTGGTTATTTCTTTAATTATAATAGATTTTTACATTTAAGTTGTTAAAATATTATAAAATTAGTTAAAAGCCACATCGGGTTTCCTAAGCGTCCTTATAAGATAGATCTTTTTTTTTTTTTTTTTAGTGCATTGTAAATTGTATCATTTTGACTAATCAGAAGACCCACAGTAATTAAAAATGTAATTTTGTGTTTATAATTAGGCTGTAATTATAAAGTATGGAAGACCAACCAGAATACAATTAAGTTGTGTTAAGCATTGTTCTCCGCTGTTAAGGCCTTTACTTTTGCGAAACACGTGTGGAGAAGTTAATTTGATTTTTCAATTTCAGCTGAGAAGGGTACCTACAAGTATCAGTATCATCTTATGAAATTTATATGATCTTCTTTTCATATTAATCTGTTATGACATTTTTCCACAAATGAAATATCAAAATTAATAAAATGAATGGAAATACAAATAACACAGTAAAGTGTAATAAATGTACATAAAATTATAGTATTTTATGTACACTTCTGATAAAATTTCATAAGAAAATCATAATAAATTAATTAGATACTTTTCTTTTGAAATTTAATCTCACTCTCAAAAGTCTTATTTTAATTTCTTTATAATATAAAGCATCGTAAATGTAAAGGCCTTAACAGCGGAGAACAATGCTTAACTCAAATAATGTGACTTAATTGTATTCTTGCTGGTCTTCCATACTTTATAATTACAGCTATATTATGAACACAAAATTACATTTCTTAATTACTGCTGGTCTTCTGATTGGTTGAAGCGATATAATTTACAAGGCAGTAAAAAATGATCTATCTCATAAGGATAGTTACGAAACTGAATGTGGCTTTCAACTAATTTTATAATATTTTAACAACTTAAATGGAAAAATCTAAAATAATTAAAGAAATAACCAATAATTGTATTAAAAATTCATTTTTCATCAAAAATTTTTTGCTTTCAGAAAATATTGTCCATATTCATAAAAACAACTAAAAGCAAATAAAAGCATTTGAAATTAAATAATATCTTTGTTTTATTGAGTTTTATATGTTACAATCCAGAGCTGATTTTCAGGTTGGTGGGGGGTGGTGGTGTCCAGTTTCAAAGCCCTGTGCTTTTACCTAATATAATCACTAAACTGAATGGTATTGAATTTCTAGAGTTTTCATAATATTAGTTATAGGGGTGGGGGTAATAAATATAAAAAAAATATTTTTTCCATGACTTTAAAAAAAGAAAACATTTATAATAATTTCAATCATTTGTGAATAGTTTCTAAAATTTTCATCAACATCTGACAATTATTTTTATTTTTGCAAGATTTTCCAAATTAATGTCTGTAATACAAAAAAAAACGTGCTAAAAATTAATATGTTATTTTACTAGTTCCAGTGATACAAAGAGAAATAAGGTTTTTTTAATGAAAATTTAGAAAAATACTAATTTACATAAGTGGAGTACCGACCATATAAATATGGGTTGGTACCGAAGACGACGGAAGATTAAGAGATCGAATCCAGAGACTCTGCCCGACTGCGCCTTAGTCAACCCATTCTGCAGGAACAGTCTTCCCAAGAATATACCAAAACTACCTGTAAATATTGTGTACCTTTTTTCATTGTTTCAATACATTTTGTTACGTACATTTTGTGTTGTATTATTATTATTCCATGCTTATTCAAGCTTCAACAATGGCGACGAGGTATAAAGAACTTTACGTTTCGGAAAAAAAAAAGAATTAATAATTGATAGCCTTCAATAATTGGGACAAGTGGAAGAACCCAGGCTGAAAAAAAAAAAAAATCATTAATTAAAAGTCGAACATCTAATGGAACGGAAAAGTATTCTGAAGTTTGGACAGTTAAAACTAGTTAAAGGACGACTAAGCTTAAAGGAACGTTCACTCAGAAAAAAATCTGGAAGGTGGCGTAAACAAATAAAAAAAAAAAAAAAAAATGCTGGCCGAAAAAAAAAAAAAAAAAAAAAAATGCTGGCCGACTAAAAAAAAAAAAAAAAAAATGCTGGCCGACTAAAAAAAAAAAAAAAAAAGCTGGCCGACTAAAAAAAAAAAAAACATGCATGGAATTAAAAGGAGCACAAATACCACGTGTCGACTTTGAAAGGTAAGCGAACTTGTAAAAAAAAAAAAAAAAAAAAAATTTGTTTATTTTTTTTTTTGTTTGGTTGCTCAACAATATTTTATAAAGCAAGACATAAAATTAAAAAAAAAAGGCGTAAGTTGTTTCAATTTTTTTTTCTGCTTATAGTATATTCGTGGATAAACAATTTAAAAGTATATTCTTTGTTGCATGAACACTATCAGCTAAAAATGGAGGAATTATCCAAAGTCATAGCTGAATTGTTTAAAGCCCAGCAGTTGAGTCAAGCTGAATTATTCAAATCCCAGCAGTTGAGTCTGCAACAACAAAGTGAACAGGTTGCCTTATTAAGAGAACAACAATTAGCACAGCAGAATTATCAAGAAAGGCAAGAGGAGTTGAGTCAGCAACGTCAAAGGAACAGGAAGAAATGTATGTCAAGGTTTTGGAAATTCAAAAGTTAACATTGGAGAAATTAAACAACAATCAGGCAAATGAAAGTAACTCTTCATATTCTAATAACATCATATTTAATTCGTTGGAAACTTTCAACTATGTGCCAGACGAAGGAAAAAAACGTTTGAAGCGTACTTTTTAAACGATATGAAGATATTTTCCACACAGACTGTGAAAACTGGTCGAATTCAAGAAAAGTCAGTCTATTACTAAGAAAGCTAGGTACAGCAGAACATAGCAAATTTGTAGATTTTATTCTACCGAGAAGAACAAATGAATTGGAATTCTCGGAAACAGTGAAATTGCTAAAGGAGTTGTTTGGAGCAAATATGTCGCTTTGGCATAAGCGATGGTTATGCATGAATGTCGCTAAATCCGACGATCAGGATTACTTAACTTATGCATCTATAGTGAATAGACATTGTGACAATTTCAGATTGGCAGAGATTACGGTTGAAGAATTCAAGTGTTTAATTTTTGCTCAAGGTCTGGTATCCAGTAAAAGTGCCGAAATAAGACGTAGAGTTTTGTCTAAACTCGAATCTGAACAAAACCTTACCCTGCAAAAGTTAGCAGAGGAGTGTCAGCGGGCCGTAAGTTTAAAGAAAGAGTCTCAAAAAATTGAAGAAGCTGGTATTGCTTATATTAAAAAAAAGTGAAGAAACAGTCAAATTACCCATCAGAAAAAAAATTGGATTAAAAATTCGGCGTATTTTAAAAATATAAAAAAAAAAATTAAATGAAAAGAATGAGGAAGGAAAAAAAAAATGGTTCCGCCATTTAATTGTAGACGGTGCAACGAAAAGACATTGGGAGGTAAATTGCCCATATAGAAATAAAAAAATGTTTCGTGTGCCACAAGAATGGTCACAAAGGGTCGTGTTGTAAAACGAAAAAGTCAATAGCCGAATTAGTCAAACAAATTCAAATATCAAATCAGATAGAGATTTGAGGAAATATGTGACGACTGAAATATTTAAAAAGAATATCAAATTTCAACTCGATTCGGGTTCAGATTTAACAATAATGAACTATAAAACATGGAAAATTTTAAAAAGGCCTACAATAATGAAGTCAACGAAACGCGCTCGAACAGTGACTGGAAAGGAAATTAAATTCGAAGGCGAGGTTGTACTTCCCATGAAATTGAACGGGATAGTTAAAAAAAATAAAGTTTTCATTCTGAAAAATGGAGAAAACTTGATGGGTACAGATTTTATTGAAACATTCGAATTGTGGGATAAACCGTTAAACTCTTTCTGCAGAAAAGTAGAAAGTAATACGCAAACAAGACAGGACATTATTGAGGAATTAAAAAAAAGTTTCCGGAAACTTTCACACCTGGTCTTGGAAGATGTAACAAGTTTGAAGCCAAATTCGAATT